CATGCGCGAGGCCGCCTGGAGGTGCATGCAAGCTGCCGATCAGTTGCGCCCCACGGCTTCGATATACTGATCGTGCTCAGCGCGGTGACCCTTGTTGTGACATGTTTCGCGGCGCGGCGGTGCTCTCGGCTTCCAGGAGCGGCCATGCGACGCCGCCCGCATCTTCTTCAGAGACGCCCTCGGCCCCAGCACCAGGCGTGCGTGGGTGGTCGGGCCCATGTCTTACCCCGGCCCTTCGGCCCCGGGTTGGCGAGCGCGCAACTCCGTTGGCCAAGGGCTTCATTGCGTCGGCGAGCGGTGACTACACTGAGCCGCGCCAGGCATTCCTTCAAGGGCCACCCGGGGGCTCTCGTGCGGCGGTGGCTCAAGAGCATCGCGCGATTGCTGCCACGTTGCCTCCGCTGGAGCGTGACCTTCGAAACCTTGGCCTCCACGTCAGCTTTGCACCTGCGCGCTTTACTGGCCAAGGTGGATCGTATGGGGGCGTTGCTGTGCTTGCGCCCATGTGCGTCGCTGTGACCGCGCCACCTGGATTTGCTGCTGGCTGGCTGGGCGCATGTCCGGGAGCCGCTTCTCGGGGCCGTCTCGTCGGTGCTCGCGTCTATGCTGGACCACCTGGAGGACTGGTGCTGCGATCCATCTACCTCCGCACCTCGGTAGGCATGGGCCCTTAGAGTATCGCCATCCTGCGCGGCGGAGAAGATTTACCATCACTGCATCCCAGCTGCCCAAGGTGCCACGGCGCTGCCCACGGAGCCCACTTGCAAGAATTCCCTGCCTGGGCGGGTCATCGACTGCGCGGCTTGCACGAAGACATTCCCGTCGTGGATCTTGGCGCCTTCGGTCGACGCATCCACGCCGTTTCCCGTTCATGTCGCAGTCGACCTGCCCCTGCTGGTCAACGACAGGGCGCCATGGAAGCGGGTGGCCTGGCCTTTGCCCGCAGCATCTGTGGAACTTGCGCACCTCCTCGGCAAGCGCGGCATCTCGATCGTCCTGGACCTACAAAATGCCTCAGGCAGTGTCTCGATCCAGCCTCTGATTGCGGAGGCGAGGCGGCTTGGCTACCCAACGGGATTGGTCTGGCAGCTGCTGGCCTACGTCCGCATGCCTCGATCCATCCGCCCGCACGGGTGCTGGTCTCGGGCGGTTGTCGCCAACTAGAGCATCCTGGCGGGCTGCGCACATAGCCCGGCGCTGCTCACCATGCTCCTTCTGGCCTGTCACGAGGCTCGGGGACATCTGAAGACCTGGCGCCGAGGGGCCTCATGGACGATCGCGGTGGTCCTCCACGAGGCGGCGCGAGGCTTCACAAATGAGGCGGCGCTGCTCGGGCTGGAGGCCAAGGCTGCCAAATCGGGTTGGATGGCCAGTGCGACGAGCGCGACGCGGATGGTTAGCGAGGTGGCTCAAGTGCTACGGCTTCCTCAGCGGCTTCATGCTCGGAACCTGGGGCATGGCGCGCATGGCGCGGGGGTCGTCTGCAGCGTGGCTAAGAGGATGCTGACTGCTCTTCAAGCTCGTGCCCCACGCGTCGCCGCCCCTCAGCGCGCGGCGGGGCTTCGCATCCATGCTCTCTGGCGGGCGAAGTCGCCGACGTCGGCGGCCCACAGTGCCGCGGTCTCTGGCATCGCGGACGAGCGCCTGGCCAAGCTGCGCCACGCGGCGGTGCTATTTTGCAGCGGCAGACGCGGTGCCGGAGCTGACTCGAGCACCCTGCGCCAGGCAACGCAGGAGGACCCGCGCTTCGACCCCGCGTTCGACCCCAAGCTTGCGCCAGCTAGTGAATCGGAGGTTGGGGGGTGAGATCGCAGTAAAACGGAGACCCCCCACCGCGAAATCGGTTTCGGTTTCGTGTTCGTGTCGCGCGTGCGGGCGAGGCGAAACTGCGCGTGATCCTCCTGTAGCTAGGCCGAAGTAGGAGCGAAAGTCCGTTCCCGTCCGCCGGTGGCTGGGAGGTGTCCCAGTTGGGCCGGGCGGTGTCCAGGGTGTCCCGGGTGTCAGTAGGAGCGAAAGTCCGTTTCCCGTCCGCCGGTGGCCGGGAAGTGCCCCAGTTGGGCCGGGCGGTGTCCCGGGTGTCCCAGGCGTCCCGGTGCTAACGCAACTAATTGTTTTCGGCGCTTGCGGCGGGCATTCTTATCCGTAAGGGCTTCGCCCCTTGCCGCCGGCCCCCTCTTTCGGAGAATGGGCCATGGAAGAGCGAAGTCATGAGGCTTTGGCTTCACCGTGAAGCAGCGTCAGAACTTCATGCGAAGACGATGGGTAATTGGCAAGGCGAATGGAGATTGCGAGCCTATTGTTGTACCCGCTGTTGTGACCCTACGGATCTGCATGGGGGGCGCCACCGGATTTGAGCAATGTAGCAAATCCCGTGTGTTTTTGGACCCTGACCCCGCCGATCTGCGTGAGGGGTGCCACCGAATGTCAGACATGTGGCACATCCCGTATGTTTTTGCACCCTGACCCTGCCGATCTGCGTGGGCGGTGCCACCGAATTTCAGAAATGAAGCAAATCCCGTGTGTTTTTGGACCCTGACCTCGCCGATCTGCGTGATGGGTGCCACCGAATGTCAGAAATGTGGCACATTCCTACTCCTCGGCCAGGGCCTCCCTTCCCTCCTCGTCCTCGGAGGCTATCGCCATTGCTATTCGAGCAGCCGGCGGTGTCTTGGGACATGAGGTCGGCCATCCGGCGGGGTTGGGGGACGCTGCGCGACCTTGGATTCCGCTTGCTCTTGCTGCGAGTTCTCGGGGGGGCGTCAGAGGCATGTCCCCTGCCGGCAGCCGTCCAGGGCGTCTGGCAACGCCGAGGCCTCTGATGAGGCCCGTGCGTTTGGGGATGGCGGTGTTGCTCCGAGTGCTAGCTTTTTCGTTGTTTTAGTCTGCCTGGTACCGACCCCCTTGGTTTTAGTAGTGCCTCTAGGGCTTCAGATACTGTGTCTGCTACTGACCCGCCCTACGAGCTGGCTCGGGGCCACCATGTGGTCACCGAAGGTCCTTATGTTCACTGACTTAATTGCGGCGGCTCGCCGCCACACGGCGATCCCCAGTGTTAATGGCCAACTGTGCTGGGCCAGTCACGTGGGAGATCAGTCGCGCTCGCCACGACGGCCCGGAGAAACCTCAAGGCTGGCTGTCACCCGCAGACGGGGCTTCCCCAGGCGGGGACCCGCGACGCGGCCAGGGCAGCCGCTTTTGATCGATGTCTCCCTAGTTCGCTTCGGTCTGCTGCGGAGTTCACGTGGTTTGCATTCCTCCTCCTGCTGCTCCTCCTCCTCCTCCTCCTCCTCCTCCTCCTCTTTGAGGACTTCTCCATGTCCTCCCCCCCCCCAACTCTTCCCGGAGGAGGGCGCCGCCGCGGCGGAGGCAGCCGCGCCGGTCCGCGAGAGGCGCCGCGCCAGCAGCGGCGGCGTGGGCGCGGCCGCCGCGGCGGCCGCCGCGAACGTCGCCGAGCAGCCGGCGGGGAGGCACAGAGGCGTGCGCCCGAGGGTCGCCGCCTCGTTCTGAAGCATTGAAGCAGAGCCCCGAGTCATCAGGGGAGGAGGGAGGAGGGAGGAAGGGAGGAATGATGGAGGAGGGACGAGGGAGGAGGGACGAGGGAGGGAGGAGGGAGGGAGGAGGGGGGAGGAGGGAGGAGGGAGGAGGAAGAGGAGGAGAGGAGAGGAGGAGGAGGAGGAGGAGGAGGAGGAGGAGGAGGAGAGGAGGAGGAGGGGGGGGGGCGTAACTCGGGTCAGGGCTAACTCGGGTTCGTTTTTCGGGAATCCGAACCCGAGTTGCCCCGGGCCCGAGGTACCCCGGATAACTCGGGCGTCCAGAGCCCCAAATCATCAGGGGTAGCTCGGGTCAGGGCTAACTCGGGTTCGTTTTTCGGGAGTCCGAACCCGAGTGGCCCCGGGCCCGAGTTACCCCGGATAACTCGGGCGTCCAGAGCCCCGAATCATCAGGGGTAATTCGGGTCAGGGCTAACTCGGGTTCGGTTTTCGGGAATCCGAACCCGAGTTGCCCCAGGCCCGAGTCACCCCGGATAACCCGGGAGTCCAGAGCCCCGGATCATCAGGGGTAACTCGTGTCAGGGCCAATTCGGGTTCGTTTTTTGGGAATCCAAACCCGAGTTACCCGGGGCCCGAGTTACCCCGGATAACTCGGGCTCCCAATTGAAGCACATGGAGGTAAGGAAGCTCGTCGAACGTTGACCTCCCCCCCAGGGCCGATCGGCTCTGGGGTCATTGGTCAAGCTAGTTTGCCAGGTGGGTTCTCCCACCACCTGGGTGAGGGGATGATTGGGAAGGGTAGCGACAGCAGGTGGCAACAGCACACCGCTCATTTGCCTTCGATAAGTCAGGCTTGTCGCACCCCGAGGCCAGGCGTAAGGGCGGGCTGGGCGTTTCGACGGAGACTTCCTCACCATGGGTAACTCTGATTGAAGAGGGCAATAGCTTCCCAGACTGATGGGAGCTGTTTTCCAAATGTGATTCTCGCTTGAGTGCTGCGCACATTCGTTTTAAACAGTTGCCAAATTTTCTCTGATTGAGGGCGGGTCGTTTAGGAAATGTGGTCTCGTCTGAGCGTTGCGCACATTCGTTGTAAATATTCGCAAAAGTTTCACGGATTAAGGGCGGGTTGTTTTCAAAATGAGGGTCTCGTTTTTTGCGACGCGCGCGGACGAGTTTCACGGATCGCGGGCGGATCGTTTCAACATGTGGTTCTCGCCTTAGCGACATGCACAATCGTGTTTTTAATGTGCACGAGCTACACGGATTGAGGCCTGGTCGTTTTCAACATGTAGTTGTCGCTTTAGCGCTGCGCTCATTCGTTTAAAGAATTGCAGGGATTTCATTGTTTGGGGGTGGATAGTTTTCAAGATGTGGCTCTCGCCTTAGCATTGCGCACATTCGTTTTAAACATTTGCAAGAGTTCCACGGATTCCCATGATCAGCGTACTTGAACATTTGTTTTCGAGAGATTGCGCCTCCTAGAGTTGGGTCCAACCGACTCTGCGCGAGGCGGCGCGCATCCTCCTCTTCTTCGCCTTCCTCTTCCATTCAGCTTCCGTATGAATAGCTTGTCCGTGTCGCACTCCGAAGCCAGTCGGAAAGGCGGGCCTGGCGTTTCGCCTGAGTTCTCTTTATCGCTCCTGAGTTTGAAGCTCAAACGCTGACAGCATCTTCGCAAATGGAGGGCGGATGGTTTTCAAAATGTGGCTCTCGCTCTGGCGTCGTGCACATACGTTTCTTGTCTCAAGAGTTTCACGGATTGGGGTTGGGTTGTTTTCAACATGTGGTTCTGGCCTTAGCGCCGTGCGCATTCGTTTCAAAAGTTTGTAAGATATTCACGGATTGGAGGCGGGTCGTTTTCACCATGTCGTTCTCGTCTTAGCGCCGCGCATATGCGTTTCTGAAATGCGCAAGAGTTTCACGGATCGAGGGCCGGTCGTTTCAACATGTGTTTCTCGCTTTAGCGATGCGCTTTTTTGCTTCAGAAATGTTTGACGATTCGCGTATCCCCACCTGTCCCCATGCTCGATACGACCCGCTCTCTGGAATCGTCTTTGGAGCCGCAGATCAAAAAGTATCCCCACTTGCTTGATGGTTCAGGCCTCCACGGTTCAGGCCACCTTGGCAGCCACTCCGTCTGCAGCGGTTGTCCACGCCCGTACAGTTCAATTCACCTCCGGCAGCTTGCAGCCCCTGGCAGTCAGCAGCCCCTGGCAGTCAGCAGCGCGTCTGCAGCTCGATACGCGTTTGCAGCCCCTGGCAGTTTTGCAGCCCTGCCCCTCCATCTCGGCTACCTCCTGGTCCCAGCCTGAGTTGCGGCGGTAGGCATCTTTGTGCTAGGTAATGTAGGATCTCGCGCGGCACGCTCGGACCTTCACATGCCATCGGCGCGCTCGCCTGCGGCTGGTAGCAAAAAGCTACCCCCACCTGCATTAGACCGTTGCTTTGTTGCTTCGACCTGACGGCGCGCGGCTGTACCGCTTGCGCTCGCGACCAAAAAGTATCCCCACCCGCCTAGCCGCCCGGCACACCTGGCACCTCGTGCAGCTCTGCCTTCAGTCCCCGGCGTCGCTCCTCGGCGTCCCTCGGCGGCAGTTTCGGCGGCCGTTCGCGCGCTTAGGTAATTAGGTTTGGCTCGTAGCCCGGGCTTACTTCGGACGCCGCCTGCGTTTCCGCTTGCGGCCGCGACGGAAAAATATCCCCACCTGCCCATCCAGAAACGATGTCCGTGAGAGCTGACTGGGGGAGAGTCGAGCCGTCTTGGAACGGTCTTGGGGCCTCTTGGAGCATCTTGGGAGCCATCTTGAGCCAGCGTAGGCTATCTTGAGCCATCTTGGATGTCGTCCTTGGGGGCCTATTGGGGGCCTCTTGGGGGCGTCCGGGGTGCCTCTTGGAGGCCTCTTGGGGCTTCTTGGGGCACTGTTAGGGCTCTCTTGGTGGCCACTTGGGAGCCATGGAGGGTTTTTCGGGGCCATCTTGAAGGCGGTCGGTCAAAAGAGGGCGTCCTCGACGTTTGCCTCCCCATCGGGGAAAACCATCCTTTGAGGAGTGTCAGAAATTTACCCTCCCGCTGGCCGAAAAAAGGAGCCCCCGAAACCTCGCGACCCATCGAACAAAACAGGGAGGGGAGGGGGAGGGTTCCCCACCCCGCAGGGAAAAGGGGACGTGGAAGAGGACAGAAACCCTCCTTAGACCACCTGTCGCCCAGAGGACTGGTGGGATTACTCTCCCCCCTTCGGGGGCCCCCAAAATCACCCCCTGGGCCCATTTTGGAACGCTCTTGGAACGCTTTTAGAGCGCTATTGGGGCCGTCCTGGTGCTCTTGGGGATCCTCTTGGGGCCTCAGTTGGCCATCTTGGAGCCATCTTGAGGCCTCGGAGGGCCATCGAAAGCAAGCAGGCGAGCAGGCCAAATGCATTTTTTCTTTGAGGTTGCTGAAGGATCTAAGCCTCTTGGCGGCCCCCTGGGGAGGCTCCGTGGCCATCTTAAGCCGTCTTGGAGCGGTTTGGGGGCCTAGTGGGAGCCATCTTGAGCCAGCTTGGACTACCTTGAGCCATTTTGGTGGTCATAGTTTGCTCTCTGAGACCGCTTGAAGGTCACTCGGGTGCCTCTTGGTGGCCTCTCGGGGGCCTCTTGGAGGCCTCTTGGGGCCTCTTGGGGCGCTCGTGTGATTCTCTTTGGGGCCACTTGGGAGCCATGGAGGGCCTCTCGGGGCCATCTTGAAGGCGGTCGGTCAGAAGGGGGGCGTCCTCGATGTCTGCCTCCCCATCGGGGGCCATGATCCTCTCGAGGAGGGTCAGACATTGGCCCTCCCGCTGGCCGAAAAAGGAGCCTCCGGTACCTCGCGAAACCTCAAGGACAACCTCAGGGAGGGGAGGGGGAGGGTTTCCCACCCCGCAGGGGAGAGGGGTTGTGGAAGAGGAACGAGATCCTCCTTAGACCACCTGTCCCCCGGAGGGCTGGTGGGATTAGCAAAATTTCACGGATTGATAGCGGGTCGTTTTCAAAATATGATTATCGCCCCAGCGCCGCGTACATTTTGTTGGAATGAGCCATTGGTTCTCAAGGTTAACGTACAAGAGTGGGTGTTGTGGAGCGACTCAGGATTGTGAGGGCGCAACGGTTACGTTGATTCGCGGTGTTGAAGTCCCAGTAATGGCGTTTTGAAGTTCGCCAAGATGCAACAGTCAGGTTGAATCGTGGCGTTGGAGTCCCGAGAATGGTATTTTGGTACGCTTCAGGGTCTTCAACGGTTGTCCCCCAACTGGCCAGTCCCCTCAGTGGAAATGAACCCCTGTATGGGTGGGGCCCATCGAGAGGGATCTTGGGAGCGTATATTCCAACATCGTTGATGAGTCTTCGGCTTGCACTGGTGGTCCTCCTCCTCGTCCTCCTCCTCCTCCTCCATTATTTATCCTTCTGGTTATTTGTTCTCTGCCACACCCTGAGGCCAGTCTCTGCCACCCTTTCGCCTGAGAATTCCCAACAAATTACGAGCCTAAACCCGGAAAGTTGACAACAGCTTCATTGATGGAGGGCGGATGGTTTTCAAAATGTGTCTCTCGCTTCAGCGCCGCGCACATCCTCACCCTCCTCCTCATCCTCCTTTTCCTCCTCACCCTCCTCCTCCCCCTCCTCCTCCACCTCCTCCCCCTTTTCCTCCAATTCCTCCTCCTCCTCCAATTCCTCCTCCTCGTCCTCGTCGTCGTCCTCCTCCTCCTGCCTCCCAGAGGGCTCTATCTCTAAATGCAGGGCTGGCGCCCTCTGAGAAGCAGCCTCTTTCTCAGAAGCTCCCCCCTCCCCATATATGTCAGCGGTGCGCCGTGGCACGAAACCCCCTCCCCAGCACTACCGGGGGGTTTCGTGCACTACCGGGGGGGTTCGTGCAGCCCGCACCGGGTGCCGCCAGCGGCTTAGAACACCCCCCCCTTGCCGCTTTACCGGGGGGGTTCGTGCAGGCCGCACTGCGTCTACCTGGGCTCCCCCCCCCCCCTGTGGGAGTGGGGGGGTGGGAGTGGGGGGTGGGTTGGGGGGGGGGCAGGGGGGCGGTTGGGAAGGGTGGCTCCCTGTCGAAGTGTGGCGTGTGCTCGCCTTGTGTTCTCTATTCGCGTCTGCTCGCCTTTGTTCCGCCGCAGCCTCTCGTATTGTGGCTCGTGGCCACAATACGAGAGGCTGCGGCGCAACTCCCGAGAGCCGCTGTGGGGGGTCGACGGCACGGCCGCGTAGAGAAGAACAGTGCCGCCGTGTTCCGGCACGGCCCTGGGATGCAATGCCGCCGCCGTGTTCCGGCCCGTCCTGGTAAGATTCGCGCGTCGGGGCTGGGTTTCGCGCGTGCTGGGAGCGCGCCGCTTATGGAGGGGTTGCGTCCTTACCGGGGGGGTTCGTGCAGCCTACCAGAGGGGGTCGTGTTTACCGGGAGGGTTCGTGCAGGCTCGCACCGGGAATGGCGCCAGCTCGAAACCCCGCAGGAGAGATTACCGGGGGGGGGGGTCGCTCCGCACCGGGCACCGCCGACATATATAGATGCAGGGCCGGCGCCTTCTGAGAAGCAGCCTCCTTCTCAGAAGCCTCCCCCCACTCCGTATAGATGCAGGACCGGCGCCCTCTGAGCAGCAGCATCCTTCCAAGATCGGTCGCTCAAAGATGGGGCCTGGAGGGACGATAAACAGGGCTAGGATCGGGATGAATCGCTCCAGAGCGTTCCGGAGCGCTCTCAGAGCGTTCCGGAACGCTCTGGAGCGGCCGCGGCGCCCAATACATCCTCCAAACCCGCCGATTCTCAGAGATTCGAAACATCCCGATCCGATTTTGTCCCGATCTTCGCGTCGTTTCAGACGAGGGCCCCAGGACAGGAGAGGATCCGAGGGCGCACATGCGTGGTTCGAGGCGCCTCGTCCTCGAAGCCCCATCCCTCGGGCCCCCCTCCTTGGAGCCACCCCCTGTGGCCGCGGCGGGGCGCCGCTGCCCTGGGAGGAGGAGGAGGAGGAGGAGGAGGAGGAGGAGGAGGAGGAGGAGGAGGAGGAGGATGAGGATGAGGAGGAGGAGGAGGAGGAGGAGGAGGAGGAGGAGGAGGAGGAGGAGGAGGAGGAGGAGAAGAAGAAGGGGGAGGGGGAGGAGGAGGAGGAGGAGGAGGAGGAGGAGGAGTGAGGAGAGGAGGAGGAGGAGAGGGGAGCAGGAGCAGGTAGCAGGAGAGAGGAGGAGGAGGAGGAGGAGGAGACCATGGGGGCCCCCCTCCTTGGAACCACCCCCTCCCCGCGCGCTCCGCCGGTGGGCGGGGGCGGGGCCGCTGCCCCGGAGGGCGGCGGCGGCGGTGGCCGCGGCGGAGGGCGCCGCTGCCCTGGGGGGAGGAGGAGGAGGGGGAGGAGGAGGAGGAGGAGGAGGAGGAGGAGGGAGGGAGGAGAGGAGGAGGAGGAGGGGGAGGAGGAGGAGGAGGAGGAGGAGGAGGAGGAGGAGGAGGAGGAGGAGGAGGAGAGAGGAGGAGGAGGAGGGGAGGAGGAGGAGGAGGAGGAGGAGGAGGAGGAGGAGGGGGAGGGGGAGGAGGAGGAGGAGGAGGAGGAGGAGGAGGAGGAGGAGGAGGAGGAGGAGGAGGAGGAGGAGGAGGAGGAGGAGGAGGGGAGGGGGAGGGGGGAGGAGGAGGAGGAGGAGGGGAGGGAGAGGAGGAGGAGGAGGAGGAGGAGGAGGAGGAGGAGGAGGGGGAGGAGGAGACCATGGGGGAGCCCACGATTGGGCGCGCCGCGGCTCGAGTCTGGTAGGCTTGCGTCGCGTCGACCGGCGGCGACCCCGCCGCCGGCGTTCCAAGGCTAAACGCCGTTGGCGACCCGCATCACCAGGACGCGCGGTAAGGATGCAATGGCCTTGGAGGGCCAAGCGGACGTTTTTCGAGCGAGGCTGGCCAGCGGAAGCGGCCGAGGACGGGCCGGGGAGGCAAGGATGCATGGGGTACCCTTGGGAAGGTTGCCCATCCTTACCATGCGGGTGACTGTACACGTCGATCGGAAGAAGCAAGTGGAAAGATCCGACGATTCGGAAACGGTCGATCGTTCAAGGTCGGCCAATCCCCGCGGTGTCAGAGACCAGCGCCGAAGTCGGCACGGCACGAACTTGCCGCACGGACGCGAGCCTCGAGGAGGTGATGATATGATTCGGACGGGGGAAGCCGTGTGTCCGCAAGCACATGAGCAACCACGAGCGTGCGCTAGACAGTATACTTGCGCACCGCTGCTTTCCAGGGTTCCGCTGGAAGCGTGCCCAGATCTGAAAAGTCCCAACCCAAATCACGACATAGCTGCTTGGCATGCTTAGACAATTCCGTCACCCATGCCTGACGGGGATTGCCCTTCGTTCGGACGGGGTTGGAATAAGAATAAATCAGTTCCAAAGCGTTTGGGGACGCTCTGAAAAGGCCGTGGCGCCCGAGACATCCTCTAGAGCCGCCGGATGTCAGACCTCGTTTTATCCTCACCCGAGTTTATCCTCTTCCTTCGTCTCAGATGGACGGCCCGACATGAGTACGGAAAAATGGGCACGATACCCGACAGCAAATGTTGTCCAACACCGACAGCGGCCGCTGTTGGGCAGGCGGCCTTTCCGTCTCGAGAACGTAGGCAACGTCCGCGGCGGCGCCGACAGCGAATCTTGTTCAGAATGAACAGGAGCAGAAAAAGGACGTACACTTGCACAAACACAACGTTTCGGAAGTAAGGACTGCGCGAACGGTTTTTTCACGAGGCTGGTCTCGCAGGCTGGGGGGCAGTAGTTATGTACTTACGTGGTTGGGCGCGTACTTCTTGTATGGGCTCCCCATGAAACAGGAGCTGTTGTCGGTCTTCGTACCTATTCTTTCCGTACCCATGGCGTTCGGCCCCGAGAGATGATGTAGTTTGGTCGCGTGCGAGGCCCTCGGTGGAAGATCATGCGGCCCTCGACGGGGCAGAACGAAAGAAACAGCTCCAGGCCGTGCAATCTCGCTCTCGCCCCCTCCCGTCGTCGTCGTCGTCGTCGTCGTCGTCGTCGTCGTCGTCGTCGTCGTCGTCGTCGTCGTCGTCCCCGCGGGCGCGCAGGCGAGGCGCGAAGCCGCAGCCGGCAACGCAGGCGGCGCGAGGCGCAGCGCGAGGCCGCTGCCGGCAGCGGCGCGGCCGCCTCGAGGAGCTCACTGCGGGGGGAGGGAAGGGCCTCTGGCGGGAGGTGATGATGCTGACGATGTTGATGGGCCAATTCTTCACCACCACTACCACAGGTAGGAACGGGGGAGAAGGAAGGATCGAGGGGTCCTCCTCCTCCTCCTCCTCCTCCTACCGATGGCAGTGGTGGTGGGAAATCGGCCCATCAGATGTTGATGATGTTGATGATCTTCGGGGAACATACAATGACAGGAACATTAAGACTCGGAGCTCCGCGCGGATTTCTCGGACTGGCGCTGGAGCTTCCTGGCGGCGCCTCCAGCGCCGCCCATGGCGCGCTCCGCGCGCCAGGGAGGGGGATCCAGCGCCGATCGGAAAAAATCCGCGCGGACCTCCGAGTCTTTCTGTTCGTGTCATTGTGTGTTTCCCTTGATGTGCTTCGTCGTGAGCGCTGCCGTGGAGACGCACATCAAGAAACCATCTGCTTTTCGTCAGGGATCCCTGGGTTTCTCTTCGCTCCGCCTTGCTGCGCGGTGGCTTCCATCGGCCGTCGAGGCAGCTGCGGCGTTCCGGGTGCTCTGGGCTTCCATCGCGTACACCACGCGCGCGGGGTTCTCCTGGCTGGGTTTCCTGCGGCTGCGTCCGCACGGCAGGCCTGGGCCTCCAGCGTGTCTTTGGTGGCTCTCTGGTATCCACTCTGCCCACTTCAGATGTACCCCTGGTTGCACTGCGGGTGGAACCTCAACGCAACACTACGGGGTGGCCTGGGGGGCCACATGTGGTCCCCCCAGTGCACGAGAAAGAAATACAGACGGTGGAGGGCCGTCATCGGGCGGGGGGGGCGGAGGAGGAGGGATTTCGGACCTCGAGCGCAGAGAGCAGAAGCTGCACGGATGCTTGTCGCCGGTGTCTGCCCCTGGGAGCCTTCATGAGGCCCCCGGACCGGCAGTAAACAATGCGGCATGAAAAGCCCGCGATTGGGAAACGGTCGCGACTTCGGGGGGAGGGGGGGGGCGCATTCTAAACGACACACATCGGATCTCTGGGGCGCAGAGGTTCCCCCAGGAAGCAGTATCCACCTTCTCATCATCCACCTCCTCCTCCCTTTCGGTCTCTCCCGCTTGCTTCCCCCGCGCGGAGAGGAGAAGGATGATGATGATGATGATGAGGAGGAGGAGGAGGAGGAGGGGGAGGGGGAGGAAGGGAGGGAGGAAGAGGAGGAAGATGAGAAGGTGGAGGAGGAGGAGGAAGGGAATATAGAAGAGGAGGTGCAGGAGCAGGAAGAGGAACAGAGTCAACCCAGGAGGAATCAATGATGCGGCAGCACATCTCCGCGTACATAGCTTCACTCCTCCCCAGCTTTTGCAGGCATTGCTCTCCACTGCGTGACTCGCCATCTCCAACACACAAGCGTGCGCTACGTATGCCTGCCATTCGGGCGATAGCTTCCCGTTGCAACGGGCGCGATTTGTCTCACGACATCTATAAGACGCATCAAGTGGCGGGAACAATGAACAGCAAGTGCCACTATGTAGCCCTGGCTCGCATGGTTGCCGCAATCCACGCGTGTGAATTGGCACTGTTGCACCACTTCCAGTTTGGGTAACAGAGGTCGGGGAAGTCGTTTCCTCGGGCACCATTTCCCGAATGACCCCCCTCTGCTGGAAGTAACGCAATTGTGCGCGGCGTCGGGGAGAGGGCCACAATGTGAAAACGACCTGCCATTCTGCCGTGCAGGTGTCGGAAACAGTTTAGACAAATGCGCGGGACGCTAACGATATAGGCATAATTCTTGAAGCCAGCATGCCTTCCTTCCATGCTACTGTTGGAATCTGACCCAAAGAGGAAGTGCGGCGTTGCAGCGAGCTCCACATGTTTGAAATCAGCTGCCCGTCATCATGTAGGTGTCGGGTAAGACGAGAGCGCGCGGCGACAAGACGAACACCGCATTACGAACATGGCAAGCCCCTCATCCGTGTAAGTTGCTGACACGCGATGCAAAGTCATACAAGACAAAGGAGGGTCTCAGGCGAAACGCTCCGCCCGCCCTCCCAACACAGCCAGTGGTGTGATGAGAAGGGAGACGGAACGGGGGAGGGCGGAGGAGCGTGGAGGAGGAGGAGGAGGAGGAGGAGGAGAAGGAGGAGGAGGAGGAGGAGGAGAGGGAGAATGACGAGGAGGAGGAGGAGGAGGAGGAGGAGGAAGGAATATAGAGGAGGAAGGATGCGGAGGTGGGAGGGGGGTACATTTGGATTTGGGGAGGGGAGAAGATGGAGGAGGAAGGATGAGGAGGCGGGAGGCGGAACACTTTGATTCGTTTCGCAGGATTTCTAGTAGTTCGCGTAGCCATCCTCATGATCTCTCTGCGTATACCCTCTCTCTCTTGGCGGTTGCATCATGTGTTGAGTACTTGGCAGTTCGTCGACAGCTAGCCGCTCTATGCGATTGCATGCACAGTACATACCTGGCATACGGACCTTGGCCTGGCCTGGCCGCGAACGGTGCGGGCCCTCCGCAGGAAGGCGCTGTTGACGCCGAACGTTCAGTTCTTGCGGGACGCTTACCACTCAAAGGCCGGGTGCGTTCGCGATAACTAGGGTCGTTGGAGGCCTAGAGATTGTCTCCGATAGTAAGTCATGGGAGCCTTGTATACCCTCGTAACTCCGTCGTTAGAACGCACTGGCGTCGGCTAGCGTCTGGTAGTCGATGAGATGGCACTGATGCAACGTCGATTAGCTTCGATGTGCGTCGACGTTTCGCCGATCAGCGTCGATTCTCGCCGACTTGCAAGAGCTAGCCAACAGGATTGTATGGCAGTTTCCCATGAGCTGCCACCGAAGGTGGCCATCGGCACCAGTATCGGCGGCGTGCTTTCACCGGGGGAGATGACCCCGATCTCGGTGATGGTGGTAAGATTCGGGCGTCCCCTGGGCGGCCGAAAGACTACCATTCAGTCGGGCGTGTCCCTCTGCAGGAGGAATATCCAAAAGTCGTCCAAAAATAGTCCGGGGATTGTTTAAAACTGTGTTTAGCATTTTTTGACAATTTTCGTCCAAGATCGACCTGTAGGGGGACCGGCCTGACTTAAAACTACCACCAACTCCAGAAAATAGGACCATCTTCCCCTGCAGGAGGCAGCCCCCCGTGTTGGTGCTGGTGCCCACTGCCAGGCCTCCAAGGTCGGGGCTCCCGCGACGGGAGCGAGCGGGTGCCAGCCGAGTCCCCTCTGGGCTGCCGGGAGCTCGGGAGCCAGGGGCCAGCGCCCCTCCTCCTCCTCCTCCTCCTCCCTCCTCCTTCCTCCTCCTCCTCCTCCTCCTCCTCCCTCCCTCCTCCTCCTCCTCCTCCTCCTCCTCCTCCTCCCTCCTCCTCCTCCTCCTCCTTCCTCCTACTCCTCCTACCTTCCTCCTCATCCTCCTCCTCCTCCTCCTCCTCCCTCCACCCCCCTGCCCATCCTCCTCCTCCCCCTCTCTCCTCCTCCTCTCCTCCTCCCTCCTCCTCCTCCTCCTCCCCCCTCCTTCCGCCTCCCTCCCTCCTCCGGTCCTCCCCCTCTGGTCCTTCCTGGCCCTCCTCCTGCGGGCCTTCTGCGGGCCTGTGGGCATTTCTGGATTCCCAGATTGCAGTCTATTTTCAGCGCCTTCCTACTTCAACGATCAAGTGGCTTCACCTTTTCCGTCCTCCTTCGGAGGCGGACGGACACCCCATCTATTTTCAATGCCCTCCTACTTCATGTTTCTACCTACTTCTTCCGACCGATGGGTAGCGCGGACCTGAGTCAGTGCGTTCCCGAGAGAGGAGGAGGGGTGAGGAGGAGGGGTGAGGAGGAGGAGGAAACATGAGGAACCACTCGAAGAAAAAGCTGAACAGACATAATTGTTTGGCGCTCCGCGCGGATTTCTTGGATCCGCGCAGGGCCCCCCAGGCGGCGCCTCCGGCGGCGCCCCTGGTGCGCTCCGCGCGCCAGGGAGGGGGGGTCCAGCGCAGGTCCAAGAAGTCCGCGCGAAGCGTCCAAATGTGATGCTCATGCCGGTTGCTCTTCTTCTGAACGCGGGGAGGCTCCCTCGGGTCTCCGCAGGTATGGGGGGGGGGGGGCGGGCACCCGGGTCGCCGTGCAGAGCGCAATGGTGCCTGGGCGCGGGGGCGCGAAGCAGGCCGCGGGGGTCTGCGCCTCTTGTGGGGCGCGGCGTGCGCGAGGTTTGGGCGGCTCAGGTCCCCGGGGAGGTCCGCAGGGTTCTGCTGGAAGGGGGGAGGGGGCAGAAGAAATGTCCTTGCGAGGCGGAGGCGGAGGAGGCGGAGGCGGAGGAGGAGGTGGAGGAGGAGGAGGAAGAGGAGGATGAGAAGGAGGAGGAGGAGGAGGAGGAGGAGGAGGGAGGGGGGAGGGAGGGTGCATGGAGGAGGAGGAGGGAGGAGGAGGAGGAGAGGAGGAGGAGGAGGGAGGAGGAGGAGAGGAGGAGGAGGAGGAGGAGGAGGAGGAGGAGGGGGAGGAGGAGGGAGGAGGGGGAGGAAGAGGCATGAGTTTGCCATGCCGCTTCCGGCGGCAAGTGCATGTAGCGATGCATTCAGGAGCACATGCCCTTGTCTGTAGTTGTGGACACCTGCCGCTTTCCCATCCTGGATTCACTCAGCCACCACTTGCTCAGTGTCCTTATTCCGTTCACCTGCCACATGTCAGTTGGTCATACCATCTCGGATGTGGACGGGGGTACGGGGTTACACGGAAGCATTGCCATCTCCGAACGCAATGAGGCGCACAGCATTGTATTCTTCTTTGGCGTATCGCATCACGGCGCACATGCAAGTCGGTTTCGTCTTAGCACGGGTCTGGCAGTTTCATAGTGCACCCGATGATTGCACCCAGCCTCGCAACGGTAAGCTTTATCACGCCACGGATTAGACCATGGCGTTGCGGCAAGGGCCATACATTCCCTACATGTCACATAGTATTTAGTCGCTTGCTGGTCCATCGACGCATGCCTCATCTGTATCATTTTCTGTTGTATCGGACAGCAGCCTTTGTACATGCGCATTGCATTGATCAAGGGACCAAGGTGCCGTTCAATAGTTACTTGTCAAGGCGGGCAGGGACAAGCGACTAGCAGATGAGGGGGTGGGGGTTATGAGCTATTATGTTGAATTGGGAGCTGGGTTGTCTCGCCTCGTGAGGCCTCCCTGGGGCCTCTTTGGGGCTTCTTTGGGGCCTCCTGGGGGGCCTCTCGTTGGAGGCCTGCGGCCTTGGGGATCCTCCCGGGGCAGAGGGCTCGAGATGATGGGTCGTGTGCCTCCCCTTCGGCCGCCTGGCGCGGGCCTTGTCTCAGGTCGGGCGTGTCCCCCTACAGGCGGATTTTGGACGACAAATGAAAAATACCCCCCCCAAAAAAAAACACACCACAAACATTCAGAAATGATCAAAAAATCGTCCCCAGACTATGTTGACTATTTTTGAAGAGCCCCCCTGTAGAGGGACAGGCCCGGCAGCCAGGCCAGCGACCCCAAAGTGGCGACGAGGAGGGCGCTGGCCAGCAAGGGCGCCAGCCTGGGGCTTGGCAGTAAGGCCATGGGCCCACTGGTGCCCTCTTGGAAGGCCCTCTCTGGAGGCCTCCTGGGCCATCCTGGAGCGCTAGAAGACCGAACAGGCAGGAACGGTGAAATAGTTCGCGCTTCGCGTATCCCCACCAGCCCACCCCCACGCTGTTGTTAGCTGCCGATGACACCCCCTCCGTGAGCGCCGCGCGGCCCGCCCCGGCTAGGCTCTCCTCCCGCTGCCCTCTTGTTGTCTCTCTTGTTCTTGCTCCCTTTTGCAATGTAGGCTCCTGCTTGTTAGTTGTAGCTTTGGACGGCGCGCGGCCCTTCCGTTTGCGCTCGCGAACAATGAAGTACCCCCACCAGCCCACCCCAAAACAGCACATGTTGCGACGCACGCCGGCGGTCTTGGCTTTCGGGCGTCTCTCCTCCTGCTCTTGCATATCTCCTCCTCTTCCGCCCACCTCCTACCGAATTTGTAGTACACATTCTTGTGGTCAGGCGATCCCTATGTTGACGAGGAACATTGGATGTTATGTCTGATTTGGCCGGCGGAGGCTCTCATGTTCTCGAAGGGTGTTATTATGTCTTAGGTCCAATTGCATGTTGGCCCCGCACGGGAGCGGTGAGACCCCATTCGCTTTCTTGAAGAGTTGCGATGTGAAGCGAAATTCGTCCCCCAGGCACATCAGGGTTGGCCGAACGTCGGCTCAACGAACAAGAGTCGTCCCTTGCACAGGGGACGGGGAAGGAGGAATGGAAGAGGAGGCATCCTCCCCCATTCCTCTCCCTCACCCCTCCCTCCCTCCCCCATTCCTTCTCCCACCTCCCGCCTCCCCCCCCCGGCCCTTCACTCTCCCCCCCTTTCCCTCCTCCAATACGCGCAGCTCTGATCTTGCTCTCTCTCTCTCTCTCTGTTTGTTGTCTCTCTCTCTCTCTCTCTCTGATTTCGCCAAAAACTGTGAGGGTCCTCTTTGTAGTTCCAGGTCCGCTGGCGACGCGCGTCCGGGGACAGATCAGCCCCACGGGAAGGGACCTGGGCATCGCTCGGGCGCGCGCCTTTCCATTGTCGGCGAGGACCACCGGGGCGCATCCTGGACTTGCGCTCGCAAAAAAAAACACGAGCGCACGACATCGAACAAAAACGCACGGGGGGACGTCCGAGTGAGGGAGGGGGGGAGGGAGGGGGGAGGGAGGGGGGGAGGGGAGGGGGGGAGGGAAGGGGGGAGGGAGGGAAGGGGGGAGGAAGGGGGGAGGGGCGGGATGGGACACCACTGTGGCGCGCGCGCACCTAGCCGCTACCTCTCCCTCCTCCCCTTCCCCACAATTGCACAACATGGATTCGTTTTTCCTTTTTGTTTCTCTCTCTCTCTCTCTCCCTCTCTCTCTCTCTCTTTTGTTTTTGTTCTCTCTCTCTCTCTCTCTCTCTCTCTCTCTCCCCCCCCCCCGAAGACGCTGGTGAGGTGTCCTGGCCTCCTCCGCGTATCGTCTTATACACGCAGGATGCCGCCGAATTGATCATCAATATGTACGCTCCAATCCGAACATGTTCAGTCCTCCCAGAATGGCGTTCCCGCTACATCGCTGGATAATCATGTTCCCGCTGTAGCGCTGACCTCATTTCATTGATTCGGTTATTCCAAATCGTTTTCATGCTGCAGCGTTGGCTTCGTTTTCGCGCTTCCAGTCCTTCCAAATCGTACTCCCAGCGCAGCGCTGGTCTCATTTCCGTGGTTTCGGTTCTTCCAAATCGTGTTCCCGTTGCAGCGTTGATTTCATGTTTCGTTCCCCGCTTTCTCGGCCGTCCATTTGGGTTTCCCGTCCTGTGTTGTTTCTGGTTTCCCTCTGACATGGACGTCGGAATGAGTCGCGTTCTCGACGCGATGCCGCGCCATGCCGTGCTATACCATGCATCGCGTACTCCAGATTTCGCCATAAAAGGGAGGGGGTCACAACCCTCACAGACGGGGCAATTCCAGACCCCTCCAAACAAGCCATGGAGGGCGGCTTTTTGCCCAGACCCACTGGGGCCCTCCAAGACAGCTCAAATCTGACCCCATCCCAAATCAGACCACCCCCCTTTTTTGTGAAATCTGGAATGCCGTCTCGGGATCATTGCCCTGTTCGACCTCCGACTCTGCGAAAGAGAGAACATCTACGCCGTGGCACGAGATGGGAGGGAGGGGGGCAGGACGTTGGACAGGACCCCTGCGCACCTGGCCTGTCCGCCTCCCCCCCTCTCTCCGCCCCCCCTCCCTCCCCCCCGTCCCGCCCGTCGCTCACCCTGGCATCGCTCGGACGTGTGCATTTTTTTCTCGGCGAGAACCATCGAGGAGCATCCTTGACCATGTGGCAAAAAAAACCACGCACGAAACCTAAAAAAAACACAGGGAATGGACGTCCGAGCGATGGCCAGTCACCCACCTGCCTATTGGCGTTCCCTCCGCTCCCTCCTCTCGGAGCGGCCAGGGGGGCTCGGCGTGCCTGCGTCGGCAGGCGTTCGAGCGACGGGAGGTTCAGCTGCTTGCCGCCGTCGCTCCTCCTCGTTCCCCCGCTTCTGCACGCTGTGCTTCGCAAGTCTGCACAACAAAGAGCAGGAGACGCGGTACACTTAGCAAGCAAACCACTTATCGTCTTGGAGTTTTGAAGAGCAGATTTTGACCCACTTCATCCACTACCTTCTCAGGAGGACAGTACATTCATAACTCCAGAACGTTTCCCCCGTCCCGCCCCCCCGCCCCCCCGAGGTGGACGCGCAGGCTGCAGAGCCCCCCCCGCCGCCGGACTCGCGGTGGACCTTCCGCGCGGACGCGTCGGCGCCGGGCGCCGAGCCGCCGCGGACGGCGCCCGAGGGCCTGGCGCCAGCGGGGTGCCCCCCACAGGGGCTTGGGTGCCTTGATGTTCTAACCGAGCGCGTTCCACTACTCGCAAAGTGCCTACTCGCAAACGTCAAAGAAAAAGATATCTTCCCCTATGTCTCAAGCCATTTTGGCTCAAGGCTTTGGCTCAAGGCTCAAGGCAAGTAGGCCCCACGTGAATTTGCAGAGTGGCCTTTACCGCAATGTTACCTCAGCGATGGGCAGCTGATTGGAAGCTGCAAAGGAATATTGCTCGCGAGCAGGTCCGGTCCGACACTCAACGTCGTCGAGATAGGCAGAACATGGCTGAATGCATACTAGCTCAATTGGAATGACTTGATTCGCATATCGCCCAGCAAGGATATGTATTTTCTTCTGTTGCACTTTTGTGTGGTAAGATTTCAGATGTCAGTCAACAAATTGAGCAAATGAATTCGAAATTCAACAGCATGCTTTGCACATTGAACCAGGTGGCGGGCTGTCAATTCATGCTTCAAAGCACAGTGCACCACTGCCAGCAGAGAGCCGATAACGTTATGGACACAGTTTCTGCGTCGCATGGACGGCCGCAGCCATCAGAATCACAATCGCTCGCCAGCAAAGTTGACCTACTTTTTAACACGGTGGATCGGATTGACATGTTGATTTATACGTCACTGCAATCAGGCACTGGCAGGAACATTTTGAGTCAGAAGGCGCGGTAAATGAGAGTCATCACAGCGATGATTGTGATGCGAGTTCTGGTGTGGAGTATCGGTGACAGAGATAGCGATCAGCCGGTGGAGTCTGATTCGGATGCGATATGTTATTCTGGGGTGTGGGAAGCTTTTTCAAAAACTTTGGCACGCAAGCACTCAATGCGACGATTGGTATCCAATCATTGCAAAGATGGTGTTTTCATTATTGGGCGCACCAAAAATAGCAATCTCTCTTGCGATGGGAACGACGCGCACTAGCTGAACAACTATAGCAATATATTTTCTGCGTGCCCGCAGGGACTGAAAACTGCTTTGTCATGGGGTGATTTCGAAAAAAACATTATGGTAACATGCATAGGACACATCTGTGGCACAGAGCGTGCAACGTGCGTTGTATGGCAGGACGGGCGACCCTTTGAGCAAGTCTGATACTTACCTGCGGATTTTCTGAGCAGCTTCGGCGTTGCGACCGGAAGGCGCTGGATAATTCCGATACGGATTCACATATTTTATGGTGGACCTCAATTTCCAGGCAAGTTTGTGCGGCGACAAACGACCCGACACAACGATTGTACTTATCATGTGGATCGATCAATCGAACGAAACATATTACCGTTGATCAAGAAGTGAGAGCAGGCTGCATCATTTTCTGGCGTTCCGGCGCCCTCGCCGTCGCCTTCAAGGCGCGCGGCCGCGTGTCGTGGCACGCGGGCGCGGACATCGGCGTCCGTCCAATATGTAATGTATCGAGAATATCCCGCAGCGGATCCAGGCCACTTGTGAATAGTAGTTTTGCGAGTAGCGCAACTTGCTTGTCCATAGTGGGAGGCGACGGTGCGGGCCAATAGCCCAAGGGCGGGCACTTCACACATTCGCCCTGGGGCCTTGCCGAAGACAGGGATCATCGGCGCCTTTGTATGCATGTATTGTTCCCCCCTGGGTTATTCGCCCCTTTCGTCGCCTCCCACTTGAGACGGGCGCCAACTGGGGTCAGCCAGCGCGCCGAATCTTGTAGGACTCTGCAGGGCCAGGGTTGCACGGACCCGGGCTAGGGCGCAGGATCCTGCAGGATTTGGAAGATTTCTTGCATGACCTTGCAGGATCCTGCAAGTCCCGACTGGCCCGGGCTTGCACTGACCCGGGCCACTGCGTCCCCGAGGGGAGCGGAAGGGTCGGCCAGCGTCAATTTGTGCACCGACGCCGGCCCCGGCCAGGCCCACCGTTCGGGGATCCCCAAACGGTGTGGTGACCACACAACGTGGTTGGTCAGTGGTGATTCGTGGTGTGATCGCACGGTTTCGTGATTTTCGCGTCGGCCCCACAAGTTTTCGGACGTTTTCGCCGACCCTGGCCAGGCCCATCTTGGGCCCATCTCGAAAAATGACCGGAGGATTTCGAAGGTCTGATGTGCCTGCGGAATCCTTCGGGCCCGGGGGTGTTTCTGCTTCAGCTGCGCCTCGTCGACAGGCGTCCGCGGGGGTACCAGGATCGTCCCAGAACGCCACTTGAGGCCCGAGCTGCGGGCCGAATATCTACCGACGGGCTTCTCGGAGGAGTGCCAGTCGAGACCAAAGGCCCCCGAGCGGTGTGGTGACCACACCGCGAGGTGAGTCAGTGAGGATTCGGGGTCATCGCACGGTGTTGGGGCTCCCCAGACCGTTATTTGACGGATGAGGCAAGGATGCAAGGGTACAGTCGGACCGAGATATAAGATCGAAGTCGGTTCGGGGAGGGTACTTTAGTGTTCTTCGCGTCTGTTGGATGCCCTTGTGCATGTTCTGTGTGTGTGGGTGTGTGTGTGTGTGTGTGTGTTGGCTGGCGGAGGGCCTCATGTGTTTGAAGGATGTACTTTTGTCCTAGGTCCGACTGTATGATAAGCGCCCCGACAAGCAAAGCCGTCGTTCTCCGAGGACGTCCCGACGGCCTCCGAGCACCCCAGACCGTTCGGCGACGGACCGCGCAACGAGGTTTCTTGGGATCTCGAGGTTAATTACTAGCGGCGGCCAGCATCGCACGGTTTTGGGACCCCGAAGCAAAAGGTCGGGCAGCGACAGTTTCTGTTAAGTCGGGCCTGTCCCTCTACAGGAGGAATATTCAAAATAGTCAATAAATACTATGGGACGATGTTTGGAGTATTTTTTGGCTATGTTGGAGCATCTTTGGAGTACGTTTCACATTTCGCCACAAATCCGCCTGTAGGGGGACATGCCCGACCTGAAGTTTATGCACCGACGCCGATCCCAGCCAGGCCCATCCCAGGCCCAAGATCGAACCGGTGCATCGAGGGAGTTCGACTACACGTAAGTTATCAGGGGGAAAAAACAAACACAGACACAATTAATCGTCGATCCCCAGGAAGCTATAGGGAAAATATGGGAAGTGGGGGGAAGACGAAACTCCAGAAAATATACGAAAATATAGGGAATCCTGGGATTTCTGGGCCCCTTCTGTAATATGAGTGACCCTTCGCCCGAGTGACCTTCGGTGCGGGCCCATTGGGGTCCCTGATCGCCGAGCGCGATACGATAGTAGTCGGACGGAGCTAGGACAAGGATAAATGCGTCCCAGAGCGTTCCGGAACGTGCGGCGCCCGAGAGATCCTCCAGAGCCGCTGGATCTCAGAGATTCTCGATTTATCCGTACCCGAGTGTATCTTCGTCCTAGCTTCGTCTTGAGCAGCGCTTTGCGCGCTTGTGTTTGGTCCCCCCAGCGGCCCATCAAAAAAGCCGCGCACCAAAGGTCACTCTTGCCCAGGGTCACTCTGGCGTGAGGTCGAGTCTTGAGGGGCGGGGTCCTGAGGACGAGGTGCCTCGAACAACGTAAGTCCACCCTTGGATGCCTGCCTAGCTTTGGGGCCCATCTTTCGGGGGCCACAAACGGTCTGGTGACCACGCCGTGCAGTGAGTCGGTGGGGATTCGGGGTCATCGCACGGTTTTGCGACCCGGGTCGTTCTCCGAGGACGTCTCGGGCGACTGGGGCCTCCGGGGCCCCAAGACCGTGCGGTGACGGACCGCGCGGTGAGGTCTTGCGGGATTTCGAGGTCACCGCACGGTCTGCGACCGCACCGTTTCGGGACTCCGAAATCCTCCTCGGGAACCCGCCTTGGAACCACCGACTCTCGGCAGGCCGGCCCTTCTCCGTGCCTCCAGGCATCCCAGACGGGGTCCGAAGGACGACGACGACGACGACGGCGACGGCGACGACGACAACGACGACGACGACGACGGCGGCGGCGACGGCGACGGCGGCGGCGGCGGCGACGGGGACCGCGACGACGAAAACGACGAAAACGATGAAAAAAGCGACGCCGACGGCGACGACGACGACGACGAAAACGAAAACGACGAAAACGAAAACGACGACGGCGACGGCGACGACGATGACGAGGACGACGGCGACGACGGGTTGCTCTTGCGTGCAGCCGGCGAGGGCCAGCCGAGGCAGCGGCTGCCCTCCTGGGCGTCTTTCTCTCGGGACCCTCCCGGCCGCCCGAGGGCTCCTCGTCGCCACGGCTCGCCGGGGCTCATGGGCGGGGGTAGATCCGTTCCGCCTCCTCCGCCTCCGCCTGTTCCTCCTCCTCCTCTTCCTCCTGCTCCTCCTCCTCCGCCTCCTTGTCCAACTCGTCCTCATCATTTCTCCCCGCCTTTTCCTACGTATTAATCCTCCTCATCCTCCTCCTCCTCCTCTGCCTCCTCCTCCTCCTCAGAAATAGTTCCTCCCCCTCCTCCTCCTCCTCCTCCTCCTCCTCCTCCTCCTCCTCCTCCTCCTCCTCCTAGCTGCCGCTGCAAGCTCAGACAGCGATGCCAGCCCGCAGGCAAAGCTGGAGGGCAGGGGCCGTAGCGCGCACGCCCACATCTTCGGCAGGGCGCGGGGAAGGGGGGCAGGGAGGTAGCAGCATATACACACATTTACTCATTCTCTTTTCATGCATGCGCATCTGCACCTACAACCCTCTCGCCAGCAGCTACTCGGAGCGCATAGAAGATAGATCAGCGGAACTGAGATCATGGGACCTCATACTGTTGAATGGCACCCAGAAGAAGGCACGCCCCGACCAAGTCGAGGAGAGACACAATCATATCAGGCACTGGAGTATTAGCTGTGGTTACAAGAAGGGAAGATTGATTAATTCCAGCTGTGGACTAATATTCCTAGTCACGCGCCGTATTCGGAGGGAAGCACTTTACGAGATACTGAGACCACCCGCTGGACTCCAGGGACGTATTGCAGGCATAAGACTAAAAGACAGAAGTTACGATTTCACGGTGCTCAACGTTTACTTTGCGGCAGTCCATGATAAGAACCATGCAGA